CCCCTTCCCTATTCTATACACAAAAGGAACTATTTCAGGGAAGTTGACTGTCTTATCTTCCCACTAGTGGGTAGCCAAGCCGCATACAAACTCAGTTCTGAATCTTAAATTCAATCCTCTGGAGTCTGTCCAAGAGGCATTTCCTAGATGAAAGGGACCCGGGGTTATTTGTTACAAATGACTTTCTTTCCAGAATTTGTGAGGGTTTAAAAAAAAGTGTCTGCTTGCTTGTTTGTTTGTTTATTTAGGCTAAGACCAAGGATATGCTTGCTCCTCCTGGAGTATAAGCTCTTTGAAGGTAAAGGCTGTTTCTATCTTTCTTTCTGAAATCAGGGCCTGCACATGGCAGGCACTCCATTAATACTTGTTGAATGAACAACCATGATTTCTCCGAGGCTGGCTTGGGGTCCATTTCCTTCACAGGATGGACCCTTTGCCCTTTAACCTTTCCAGGGAGCTTGACTTTGGCCTGTTTCCGGCACCCTGTTCAATGCCCCACATCCTCCAGAGCCACTCCTACCCCAGTCAGTGGCCTCTCTCAGCAGAAAACACTAACCTTTCAGCTATCATCTCTTCATGCACTTTCCTACCAAAACCTCAGCCCAGGTTCAACATATTTGGAAAAGATCTGAATAAGCCAGTATGAGTCTCAATAATAAATGGAAGGCAGGGCAGTGAAACCCCCAGTCCCTAGCAGCTGTTACCCTGATCACATGACTACTCTGAACAGGCGCTGTACTGATCATGCTAATTCTTCAACGAATCCTGTAAAGTCAGTATTATTACCCCTATTTTCAACAAGAAAGCTGAAAGCACCATGTCTAAGATCACGGAACTGGCAAGCCACAGAGTTGGAATTAAACCCAAATTGGTAAGACTCCACAGTTGTCAGCATTAGTTGCATTTTTATAGAGGTCAGTGACTTTATGACTTTACCACAAAGGGTGTTTAGGGCCTCCCAGACAAGGAAATGAGGGCGAGGAGGAGGAGGAGGAGGAGGAAGAGGAGGAGGAGGAGGAAAAGTGGATGTTCTCCTGTCCATGCTTCCAGGAACCCTATTCCTTACTCTGTCTTCCAAACCCTTGGCCTTTATCTTGGGGTATATCAGGGTCAGTTTTCTGGAGTGGATGGAACACTTCATTGGAAAGCTGCCTTACTTTTCCAAATCTTGGATTACAGTTTTTAGATAAGGACCACCTTTCTCCCTTTTTCTACAAAGGAAGAAAAGAAAAAAAGACACCACTTGAAGTCCTGATCCTATTTATTTGAATTAAGACTGGCATCATCTTGAGTACTGAGTACCTGGAGCAGTCCATGCAGCTGTGTAGTGTCACCTGACAAAGCCATGCTCTAGGAAAACCATACTCAGCCTGACTCTGAAGACAGGTGTTCTAGTTTTAGTGCTACCACAGTTGAGCTTTAAGTAATGAGTTTCTTCATTTCCATGTCCTCCCCCGTAACACAGGGTGGCTCTGCAGACTCACTGAGCTAACATTTGCAAAATCCCAAGAGGTCACAGGACCATACCAAATTAGTTAAACTGCATCACTTCAGTATTAAAACACAGAGAAGCATTTGGCCAAGTCAGAAAATCAACTGTTAGGTGGGAGAGACTCAAACCAGATGCCTTCTTTTCCTCCTTTCCCATCACACAGGATTACTGTAAATTAAAGAGTCAGTTCATTGCTGATGGTTTTTGTCACATCTTCCAGTCTAGGGAGTGGTACATAGCCATGAGCCACTCTTCCTGCTCTGATCCAAGCCCAAGAGTCCTCCAGTAGAGGCCCCACTGGACTGGCATTTGGCCCTGCTGCCAAATCTCAAATATGCCCAGGATTTGTATGAGGAAAATGATGCTAGCCTTAATCTCTATCATAGTGGATTAGATTAACTCTCTGGCTACAATAACCTGGCCATTTCTCATAGACCAATTGACCAGGGATGCTTTGGCAGTAAATAGTCATTGTATCTGATACTACGAGGCAAGTGCTCATCATACCTGCTAAAGAATAAAATTCCCCGAAGGTGCATAGAAAATGGGGCCAAATATGGAAACTTTGGGGTCTAGGAATGTTTGATACCCTCATCCTATCTCAGGAAGAGGTGGATATGCAGGGGTGCACAAAGCCAGAGGGGTGATGGCTTTCTACCGGTCAGAGAAGGCCATGTGGCTGCTCACCAGCTGCTACTTCTAACACCACAGCACAATTTAATTTGTGTGATAACTTAAAACACTGTTAGTAAAAGGGCCTTAGAAATCATCAAACCTCTTCTCTCGATCTGCAGACGGGAGAACCAAGGCCCTGAGAGAAATTGTCACTCAGCTAGGGTACAGCAGAGTCACAGAGAAACTGGGTTCCCAGGCTGTTGTTGTTCCACCCAGATGCTGTGGTCCCTGAAAACATGCATAAACAGTAATTTTCCATAGAAAGTCAAGTGGAGTTGTAAGAATCAAGGGCATAGTCTCTGGGGACAATGACTTGGTTTCAATCTGGCTCAGGGTATATAAGTTGTGTGGCCATAGGCAAGGTATTTAACTGCTCTGTTCCTAGTGTCCCCATTTATAAATGGGAATGGCAGTGGAACAGCACTCATGGGTTTGATGTGATGGTTACATGAGTTAAGACATGTTTGGTGTCTAGAATCATGCTTGCCACATAGAGCCCAATGCAAATGTGTGTTATCATAACCATCCTAAGCAAGCTGAGCAGACTATGTATCTGCTACGTTACCCTCACATTTCCAAACTTTGGGACACACACCAGAGGCCCAGTGTGACTGCAAACCCTCCACTAAATACACACCGAGCCTTTTACAGCAACTGCTGCACACCACCAGAAACATTAATTCTCTTTAGGATTATGCCTCCTTCTCCCTCCAAACATCACTCTTTCTTGGCTTGCTTTCCATATATACTTCTCCTCTCCTCTTTGTTTTAGCTATATCCAACCTTGTGCTGATGGCATGACAACCACAGAAATGCTTAAGTACATGCTGGAACTTGGTATAAAATGACTCCTACACTAGCAACCTCTATCTTTTCAGAGTAGGGCATATTAGGGCTTCAATTATTTCTCTTTTTTTTTTGTCAGGCTTAGAGAGAACTAGTAGTCTATCTCAATTGTTTCTTAAGCCAAAATCAACAAAATTAATTAAACAAACACATATATACATATGCACATATTTAGCCAGTCTAATATATATGTCATGTACATAATGAAAGATACTTTTTAAAAAAAGTGTATAGATATATATGTCAAGATAGTTAAAAATACACAGGGACCTTATGAATCTGCTTGCTCATTTAGTTGTTAGCTTATTTAAAAATCTGAATCATTCTCTTTATGCAGAAGACAATGTTTAGAGAATTACCTTGAGCTTGAACTTGAACATTTTCCAACTCAGTACATTCTGCAGGCCTGTAGGATTTCTTAGGATAGTGCCAGGACTGCTGGAGGCCCTAGAAGCAGGCTACTTTCCACACATATTTATGGAGCCTCCACTGGGACGTTAACACTCTGCTAGAACCTGGATCCAGTCTTGCTTGCGAATATAACAAAAATAGATGAGTCAGATTTCACACTATCGAATAAATATAGCTTTGTAGTCCATAGAAGCATCTATATTATAAGTCGCAGGAAGACAATTCCTGGGGTACGAATACTCGTATGCTCATTGCTGAAGTGAGTGGCCTGGACTTACCAAAGTAAAATGCTGGCATAGTCCCTTTCCTGGCAAGGCATGAATTTACACCATAAGGTTGACAGGCAGGGCTATACTGCACAATCTCAGCTTTTTCAAGCAATCATGCTTGTTTCCAGTAGGTCAATTTACTTCCCAAAGAGGCTGTGAAGCCCTGGCTTAAGACCATAGAAAAGGCTTGCCATCTTGTCTGCCTGTCACTGGTTTTACAAAAATGCCTCTCAATGGCTTTTAATCCCCTTGGCAATATTCGGCTTTGGTTTCCCAGAGATACACTTGCTTGCTAGCTACTGACCATGCTTACCACCATTCTAAGCACTTACTGATATAGGTGATAGAGGAATGTAGAGGCCCAGTTGGATATATTATCGCCCTGGGCCTTCGCCATAGGCTGGGACAATGCGAAGTCACATGATGTCTTATTGAGGCATAGCACATGAGGGGAAAGGAATAGCACTCCTAACTCTATGGTCTTATTTTTCATTGGAACTTGAATGATTTACTCTCAGGATGTGGGAAAGGGGGAGGAGGGGAGAGAGAGATTGGAAGCAAAAAGAAAGGGAGAGAATCTTTGGGCCAAATAATCAGGTGGCAGTTTGTTCTGGAACCGCTGAGTCTGCTTTGTTGGCTTTGGGGAGGCACCTCTGACTGCTGGGATGAGCCCAGACAGAGTCTTTAAACCTCTCAGGGATATTTATTCACCCTTTCTCAGCTGTGGCAGGGGAGCCTCCACAATACCTAAGTTACACAAACTGAGGGTGACAAGTCTGCCACGTCAACACTTGGGCTTCGGCTGCTCACTAAATGTCTCCATTTTGTTCCCCTTCTTGTCCCCTGCCTGCTGTGTGGCCCTGTGGATCCTCTCCTCCCCCCCATACCTGTCTTTTCCCCTGGTCATTCCTGTCTTGCTGGACACTATCTCCAAGGATAGCACACGATTAGAGGCACTGCTTATGAAGTAGCCATCAGTCTGCCTTTCCATTGAGCCCTGTATGTTGCCCTAACCTTTAGGCCCAAAGGTCTAAGTGACTTGCCTCAGCTTTCCCCATTTCTTTTTAAAATTTAGTCTTTCAGAGCAGGCCACCATGGTGAAGTCATCCCAGTGACTTGCCCATTTTGAATTCCTAAATACTCCTGACAGGCATTTTCTAGCTGTCAAGTCTTGGCAGGGTCAGTGGGAGGGTGGAAGGTGGGGGAATGCTCATGGAGAAGCATGTCTGCATTTTTGCTTGTCAAGGAAAAAGTATGGTGTCCTTGGGATACAAGCTAATGGGTCTGTCTCTCTTTCCCCTACACAGGGCCTGGAGCAGTCATTGATGGTGTAAACTCGGCCTCTAGAGCGCTGGCTTGTCTCTGGCTATCAGGGACCCTCTTTGCCCACTTCTTCATCAAGTTTTGATAAGAAATTGTAGGTCCTCTGAGCAACGCCTGCTTCTCCATATCACAGACTTTAATCTCTACACTGCGGAGAGCAAACCAGTTTGGGCTTCTTTTTGTTTGTTTTTGTTCTTCTTGATTTTGTGTGTGTGTATTTCGGGCTTTTATTTTATTTTGTTTTGTTTATTTGCTTTTTTTCAGTTTGAACAAGTGGGGTTGGGTTGGGTGGGCAGGGTTCTACCACATGTAGGATAATCATTCATGGGTGTGTCCAAAAAATGGGATCTGCTCCTGCTACCTTGACCCTTCCCTTTCCTCTGCTTCTCTCCCCATCATCATGAGCACCAACCTCTCCCCAGCCCCGTACTGCGCCAGAACATATGTTCCATTTTAAGTTCCAAAAAATGTGCCTCCTGATAAACACCCTGAAGACACAACTTGATTCCTAGTGTAGAACACAGCAAGAGTTATATCCAGGCGTCCTATTATCTGTGTCTTTTAAGCTTTGGATCATTTTCATGATCATCATGAACATATCCCTCCCTCTATGTTTATTATTACCTAATACTATTAGGGTTCACATCTCTTCTTTCTGGGAAGCTATCTCACTACATCTACATCATCCTCTGTAGACACTCTGGCCTACTCTTTTCTTCCACCAGCTGTAGGAACTAGAGGTTTGGGCCATGCATGCAACCCCAAACTAAAAATTGTAGAAGTCAAGTGACCAAAAAAGGAGGAGGCATTTTGACGATAGTAATTCTCCTTTAAAAAATATGCTGTTCAACTCACATAAGTGATTGATAGATAGCTGATTATTTAGGTTTTATCTAGCTATTTATCAAAGTAATCATAGCTATTCATCTACTCAATTATCTGATTTATCTCTCCATCCAATAATCTACCCACCTGTCTTCCTCTCTAGCAATCTATTTACTATATTTGTCCATCTATCAATGTAATTGTCTAACACCTTTTTTTATTTCTCTACCCACTACTCACTATCAATTCATCACCATATTAATCTGTAATCATATTATGTCTATTTCACTGTATTCATTTCTCCTCTACCATCAACAAACATTGGCATCTTCAAATTTACCTATCAACTCCCAATGATCTTACAGGCTAACAACATAGAAAAGCAATACCCTGTGTTATGGACTCTTTAAAATCCAGTATCCTATCTACACAAGATAGACACTTAACAGATGGACCAAAGTAACAATCTAATGATCAGTCACTCACTATTCCCAGAAGAGACTCTGTTTTCTAAAACATCTTCTTGAGAAGCACATCAGCCCTGGAAAAGTCTTGATTAGCACTGTAGTTTTCCTTTCATGCTTGAAGAACTAAGACGTCAACCTTCTTGCTTCTCTTGGCCCTTCAAGAAAGTGCAAGTCAGGAACCTATGGGACCTACTTCATGGCTGGCTTTCCTTAATAGCAAGAACATAAGAGAAAAAACTCACATCTGTCTTTACAAGTGAAGTGAACAGTCCACCTGTCTTGGTGTGATGACTTCACCTAGTGTCTCCTCTCTGCTCCAGTTCTGGTTTTATCTGTTTGAAAACTATCCACTAAAAAGCTGATGGAGGCCGATTACATGTCGGGTATATTGACAACTCTGGTATTTGTTTCCGGAAGCTCTTCTGAGCTGAGGGCACTTGAGCAACTGACTTAATTTTCAAGCACTTGATTAACACAACATTACAAACAGAAGGGGGAAAGTGTCAGTGACACACATTCCTCTGATACGGGTTGCTTCTTCAGTGACTTTGAGGGAAAACGTCCCCACTCCCTATGTTCAAAGCAGACCCAGCTTGCAAACAAGAGCTGACTCCACCTTGCTGCATTATCTCCTGGCACAAGAAGGACTCCTCCAGCAAGGGGACCTGGGATTCAAAAGAAAGGCATTGAAGACCACACAGGCTGTGCTGTGCTGCAGGGACTGACCTACTGAGAGGACCAGAAAGCAGCATCAACAACAACTTTCACACAAACCATCTCTGCCTCAGTTGGAAAAACTTTCAGGCTCTCAGTCTAAAAAGTAAAATAAATTTTTTAAAATGAATGCCATAGAGTTCCATACCCTCAATGCTTAATTGATTCATTTCTTCCAATATCAGTGCCCTCTTTAGTTTTGTTCATTATGGCACATGAGCATGACATCTTCAATGGGGGAGTATACACATAGGTATATATACATACATACATATACAAATGCAGGTTGCTTTGGCACACAAAAAGCTAAGTACTATCTTAAGAGCTGGTGTGAGTAAAATTAATATTACGTTTGCCAGCTGTAAACAGACATCTGCATTTCCTAGTGAGCTGCCAGGAACCAGATTCTGGGAACATAAATTATGTGCCAAAAGCAGTGTATCGATTCCTGGTACCAGAGACAATCATGAGCAGGCACAAAATCAGAATTAAAGGTCGGGCATAAATGTTACAGATCTGTCACCACATTCAGCATCTGTAGTCGGGTAGAGTCAGATGGTGTATGAGAATTAAATGCATCATCTGAGTGTTCTTCTGATAATAAATTTGTCACCTTGGATTTAAATAAATGTAGAGGTTGTGGAAAGTGGACATTCTTGGAGAACACAGTGCTTGAAATGGACAAGCTGTACCTATTTTCTACTCAAAAACTTTTTCTAAAGAAAGGGGTCCACCCTCCTTTGGCAAGATCTCCAGAACCTCTCTCATCCAACAAGGCTGAGGTCACTGTGGAACTCTGCTCTACCCCGTCCACAGGATCCTAGGAAACACCTCTAGTGGTGACCTATTCCAGCCATGTTTCAGAGGGAACACAATGCTACAATCAATCCTCATCTGTCTGGGATAAAGAAAACAAAGTAAATAAAACCCAAGGCAACTGGGGCACTCACTGGGAGTGAAAATGATTTTCCTTCACAACAGACATAGTTCAGCTTCTGTGTTTTTGCGTTACTTTGGTGGGAGTGGCTCCATGGGACAGTGGCTGTTACCAATCATTTTGAAGCATAAAGAACAGCAAATGCTTGCTCAAGCTAATATCTACATTTACACACACTTTTCTAACTTTACATGTTGAGGGTAAATGAATAAGGCCTGCTGGCTAGATTTGTTCAGGGTGCCAATGGTGGCCAGGGGTTGGGGGTAAGGCAGGAAAAAAAAAAAAGAAGTTTCTGAGCGATCTATAGCTCTTTGTGGGTTTTCCGCACAGAAAGGAAGCCGAAAAAGGCTTGATGGGAGATAGGTGAGAAAAATTCAGCAATGTACTTCCTCTGAAAACCTTCCCCTTCCCATAACAAAGTAAATATGTACTTCCACCAAAGTAATGCCAATGAAAGTGCTAGTGTTAAGGCTCCGGCCAGGCTTGTTTTTCAGTAGTTTAATGTCAAGTGCCTGATACAGTCATCTGCAAGTCTAAACAAGTGTGTTTAGTTTTTCTCATTTTTGTTTTAATTGGGGAGGGGGGAACTATAGAGAAGTAGATGTCAAAACATGCACATGTTTTATACAAAGAGTACTGTGCATGGTTGTTGTGCTGCAGTTGTGCCCCACTGAACAGAAAAGGTAAGGTTGCATGTCAAAAAGAGGCCTAGGCCTCTTTCCTCTGAAACTCATGCCTTTTACTAGATGGTACATTTCACAGGTTGGGCAGTTCATTCTCAAAACATGGATGGGACATTTGCTATGGGACTCTAGAACCTTTACAACTGAGGCTGAGCTTAAGGATTTGTTTCTGCATCCATTTAGGTAACTTGCCTTCAACAAAGAGGAGTTAGCAAGTTCTATTTATGCAGAAAATGCCAAAGTGGGCAGGTGATCCCAAAGAGAGCTTCTTTCTGTTGCCCCATCAAGAGTAGCTCTAAATTGATTATTCAAGTTTTGCTTGGCTGTCACCAGCCCAACTTAGGAGGAGGGGAGGAGTGGCTTATGATAAGGTGAAGTCTGGTGGCAGGAGCATCTTTCCCCAATTCAATACTGAGTTCGATTCTGAGAAAGAAAACTGGCTTCAGATTACCTGAACGTAGCAATAACCAAATTTTAAAAACCACAAAATTTTAATAACTTTAAAAATTAAAGGAAGCAGCATAAAAATTTTTTTTGGCAAAATGAATTTTTTGTCTTTTTTTTCCAACAGCAAGAATCTTTTCATTTTGTACAAGGCCTTTTCCTGGAAACTGTCATACTCATTTGCCTCCCTTCCTATTATTCAGAGCTTCCCTGTCTTTTTCTTTCAAGACAAATAAGTTGAGCAGTTGCAGTAAAACTTCACAGGTGTGTAAGTAGAAAGGCAACATTTTCAAAAAGAGACCATATGATGAGAACTCTTAGTGATCACTAAACGCAAACAAATAAAAATGCCAGTCTCATTTCCCTCATTTCTTACTTAAGAGAAGTAAATGAAAGAAGGAAGAAATAGATTTGTAATTAAAGATGTGGCAAAAAGATATAGCTGAGCCAGTTCAATTTAGCCTTCAGGTGCAGAATACTCAGAGTCCAAAGGAATGTGGAGTGGACTTAATTAGATGCAATTGTCTTTATTCTGCCAAACCTAATTTCCAGCATTTTGAAAGAGATTCCTTTTTGTTTCTTTCAATGGTGTCCTTTTTTAAGGCACAGAGTTGTTCCACACCACTGGGTGGAGAAAGAAAGATTGTGAACCCTCTACCATCCTTTTGGGGCTACATTCTATGTTATTTGGCAAATTTATAAAGATATCAATAATAACAATAATATGTAATACTAGCTGCCCTTGTGTTAGTTAAAGGGAGCATTTTTAATCATTCAGAAATTTTCGTGACATGTAAAGTGCAGTTGTGAGGAATGTGTGGGTGTACGAAAATGTATCTGTCAAGTTCAGAGTCCTCTAGATTTAAAAAAAAAAAATTATGACTTATCAATGGTGCCGTTATAGCTGTGTCAGACAATGGGTGTGCCCATGCTCACAATTATCCTTAAAAAAAATCTATGTTCAAATGCTTTAAAAATTTATCACATGATACGAGAGTATGACTTTGTCAGCCTTCTAGAGTTCTTTTTTCTTTTATTTTCTTTCTTATCTTTCTTTAAAAAATCAATGAAGACTTGATTTCTGTTAATAATTGTATTAAGGGTGAATATACTACCTGAATTTTGTGCATGTTACATTGTAGTTGTAACCTTTTCTAATTCAGGATGAATACAAGATGGTTGTGATTGTGCAGTGTATCAATAAAGTTTGAAGAAATTTGTAACTTTCAGGGGGCTGTTTATTAGGACATTTCATTGATAAGAAGTGGGGGTGGGGAATAAAACTGGCTATACTTCTCCCATATGCATATCTTAGACTTTGGGGAGTAGACACAATCAGAAAACCTAGAGTCCCTACAGCCTTCACACACACACACACACACACACACACACACACACACACACACACACGGCAATTTAAGTACTTTTCATATTACATCTATGTATCAAATTTCTACGCATTCACAAATAATATAAAATGCCCCTGCAATCTCAAAGTCTAAGTTACTTATTAGCCTAAGCTAAAATAATGTCAGAAGAAAAGATTAAGAAACATAATAATCAGACACTGCCCAGTTGGGCATTTTGGTCCTTAGCAGTTCCTGCTGCTTGATTCCACTGAAGTATGCATCATTCTGACAAGGGATGTATGAGAAGATATGGTGATGGGGACATACATGAATTCTTAAAAGTATGTGCCATTAGATTAAATTGTATTCATCTTAGGTTTTACTTAGGTTAGGTTTCATTCATCTTAGGTTTTTCATGGAATAGTATGAGAAGGAACCCTGAAGAAGAAGCTCTCTTCCTCTAGTTGCCATTTCTAAAACATCTTTCTCTTTCAATAAAACTCTAACTTCTCTTTCTGCTTTTCTGAAGAAATGGAAATTACTTCTTTCTTACAACTCAGTTTCTCATCAGCTATTTGATATTAAATAAACCTTTCTAGTTCTGCCATTAACTAGATATGAGATCTTAGACTGACACATGACCTTTGTTTCCTCATCTGTATTATCTGTAAATTTAATTACACAACTCAATGTGTTCAAACTTCTCTAACCAATTTCTGTTTACTTTTTAACCACTGGATTTCTCAAGACTGTCCCTAAAGAAAGCTTAGAGGCAGTGACAAATTATGGTTTGGGAACTCAGTAGAAAGTTAATTGACATTATTTCATTAATTTTACAGTGCAGGTAGCATCTCTGGCAAAGTCACTGAGCTAAACTTATGAGGCTTGTATTCTTACTGGCTTCCTATGTAAAGAAGGGATAATACTGACCTTTCACAACTCAGTCTCCCCCAGAGGAGATGGAACGCAGATAACTCAATAGACCACATACATGTTATTTGTAAATTGAAATGGTACATAAGTGCTAGGTACCAATGATTGAGAGTTTTCAATTTCCTCAGGCTCACTGTAAAATCATGACTTGACGAGGAAACAAATTTCTAGTTCCCCTAACCATCTCAACATCATTCGTACTCCCTTTCTTGTCTTCTTTTTTTTCTTTTCTTTTCATCATCCGCTTCCCATCTACACGGACTCTTTCCTGCTCCTGTGCATAACACTACATTTACCTACCCATCTGCTGTCAGGCTTTCACTTCATCTGGCTATTCAGCTCCATCTATCATTGATAGACCAATTTATTCTCCCATCAGCTAACTACTCACCTATCCATTCACATATTATTTTCCCATTTATCTAACCCTTATTCCATCTATATACTCATGCACCTCCTTAATGTGACTATTCCTCATCTATTTATTTAAACCACATATCCTCTCTCCAGCTGTCAATCCATCCACCCAACATGCTCCACCTAGCCTTTAGTAGACATACCTGTTTAACAACCCACTTCAAAGTAATAAAAATCTTTGCTGTTATCTCTCTATTCCACAAGGGAGGCTTTATCTAGTTATTCTTAAACATGGCAGCTAAATTATTTGGTGCGTTTTTGTTATCTTCACCCAAAATACACCCTATTAAAAGCATATACATAGAGAAGTGTTTGGGGAAATATATTAAGGCATGCCTGTTCCTATCAAGATGTTTTAAAGTAGAAAGGAGATGGAGAATTGGGAATAGTGTAGAAATACCCAGAAGAACAGATGTTGATGTTTAACTTTCTAACACTAGGAATGCAGTCATGCAATGAACACAACAAATAACTGAAGAAACATACAGGAGAGACCTCAACTGGCAACTTCCCCTTCCTTCCCCACAGTTTGATTTGCTGTTGAATATATTCTTCACTTTAGGAAAATTAGGAGTTGGTACTAATTGGTGCTAAACCTTATGATCAGTTTGAAAACCAAACCTTCAAGCTACAAGTGATGCTACCTTCTTTTAACATTTTCATCTAGTCATTAGGAAATCTTTTTTCCCTTATAGCTTTCCCATTTATTCATTTATTCATCATTCATACATCATATTTAGTCAGGAACTCCCCTTAAGGAGTTCACATTTAAGTATGAGAACTGCTATTTAAGAAGAAAAATCACAGTACAATATTGCAAGTATTATGATAGAGGTGTGAGAAAATGACTGCAGAGTGCAGAGCAAATATTGGGAGATGATTAAGAGGTGTTCTTGCTTTCCCTCATTTTTTTCTCCAGGTATAAAAGCCTGGTTTGTAAACAGCTAACATAGGCGATGGACATGGGGCACTGATATAACACTGCAAAAATAAACAGGTTACAGGACCATGAACATTGAGTAATCAAGAATTTATTGATGGAGCAAATAAATATTTGTTAAATGAATGAGTATCATGAAAGGAATTAAAACTACAAGTGATCAAAAGGCCATATCGTCCAATTGGTGATAAAGCTGACATAGACCTACTTGGAGAGAAAGACGTAACATCTAGAATGTCAGTCAGAGCTGGTTAGAATGCAAAGTTTCATCCCACACTGAATTACTGAGCTTATCATTGTTTATTGGATCTCAAAGATATGAGCCTTGATGATGAGGGAAAGAGAAACCATGACTGGGATGTGGGCGACAGCAGAGACATGGAGGGTGTAGGCAGAAGTTAAGTGTGGACTTACTGAACGATTCCCCCTGGACTGAGCTTTCCCAGACAAGACTTGCCTACAATTCCATAATTCAGGATGAAATACCTAGCTCATTTGCATGTAAGTGTTTAACAACCTCTCACTTCAAAGACACGTATATTTATACTTTTTACCTTTCCATGAATTGTTATCTCCCATAAGATATACTGACTTTTATTTTGTTTGCACCCCCATGCCAAGTATTCTCTTCAGAGGTACAGTATAATATAGTCTGGGGAAATTTATGTTTAAATTCTGACCTTAAAATCTAACCAGTTGTGTTACTTGGGACCAATTTCTTACCCTCCCTGAACATCAGTCTCATCTTTAATAAAATGGTGGCAGTAATACCCACTCAGAAAACTGGCTGTGAGAATTATTTGATTATTAAATACAAATAAGTAAGGGTGTTTAGCATAGTATCTGGTACGTAAGAGCTAGTTGCAAAGTAAACATTTTTCTTCCAACTTTTCTCTCAGCCTTCCTTCCTGTCTTCACTTTCCTGAGACTTTAGAAGATATAATCCAACTGTGCTTGCTTCTCTAAAAAATATTAAAAATCATATCTTATATGTAATTTATTTGTTGATGTTTAAAAGAGAGAAATACATTTCTCAGTCCAGGATTATTCAAGAACACAAGATTGGCAAGTGGCATCAATAAGGCCTTTGGTAGAATTCCAAAGGTAAGTTGAAAAAAACAGAAAAAGTAGATCTTAATTTTCAAACTAAGAAACTTGCATCACGTAGCTAACATATAAATACTAAGATACAAATTGAGAACCAGAGTGCCTATCTTCAAGAATGTCCCAGTCCAGATTTAAAAATACAGCACAACACAGCAGTTTTTTGGGTTTTTTTTTTTTTGAGTTGGAGTCTCACTCTGTCACCCAGACTGGAGTGCAGTGGCCACTCCCGGCCACCACAGCCTCAACCTGCTGGGCTCTGGTGATCCTTCCGCCAGCCTTCCGCCTCAGCCTTCCAAGTAGCTAGAATTACAGACGTGGGCTACCACGCCCGGCTGATTTTTTGATTTATTGTAGAGATGAGGTCTCGCTGCCCAGACGGGTCTCGAACCCACGGGCTCAGGCAATCCACTCACCTCAGCCTCCCATCACAGCAGTTTTTTGTTTTGCTTTGTTTTGTTTTGTTTTTTATCAAGGACTAAAGGAGCCCAGTAGGGGGCATCTACCTAGACAAAAGGGCTAAAGGCACACTTCCAAAAGACTCAGAAGATGTCTAAGAGGAGTCTTAAAGGAGCAGAAGTCATTAGCCAGGGAAAGGGAGGGCAGAGAAGTAAGTGAGTATCAGCGGAGGGTTATTCTTGAAGAACACATAGAGTCATGAGAAGCACAGCCAGGTTAAGAAACTGCAAGCACAGATTACCCCAAAAGGCATGTGGGCAGAGGTGCATGCAGGAGACAAGGGAGAAGATGAGCTATGTCCAGACCCAAAAAACCTTACAGGGATGCTGACATGGTGGGACTTGTCCTAAAAGAAATAGGGGAGACGCTGAAGGATTGAATCAGAAGAGTGGCTAGATTGGATTTGCAACTTACAAAGATTAGCCAGGCAGCAACGTTGATTAATCAAGCATCAGTCAAACTAGCAAGGGGAAAATGTGTCAGGGTAATTAAACTAAATCAGGTGAGAAATGATTGGGAGAAACAAGAAGCAGGCAAATTGGGATGATTTTGGTGGGTAAACTTGATAGAAGGGGCTGGATATATGGGATGACGGAGAATGTAGAATATAAGGAATAGTCAAGATTTCCAAACCAGCCAACTAGATGAAAGATGGTACCATTCTATGATTTTGAAATTTTTGGAAGATAAGGCTCCATCCAGTTTTTGACATATCCAGTTTTAAGTATCTAGAATCTCCAGGTGGAGATGTTTAAGCACCATTAGCCTTTTCCTGAGTCATCTAATTATATCCACTGCCATTCACAAGGGATGCTTGATTTCCTTCCTCTGCCTCCCACTTTAATTCCATAGAAACTCTAGCTCCTAGGATCATCCATCTGCAATTCATTTCTCATCCTCCATTTCCTCTGTATCTTGATTTTGTCTTTAAAAGGTACTGTTTTAATGGCTTATTGCAGTGGAAGGGTAGAGATCAGTTCTCTGATTAGGCAGTCAGGAAGTAACAGATGCTTTAAGCAGGAAAG